AATTGACACTCTTATTTGATATTTTTCTTACACCAAAATGTGTTTTCTTAGCCTCATGAGGCTTACAAAGCTAATTATAAGCTTCAACAACTTACAATATTACTAAAAAACAAAATTGTCTTAAGAGGAGGATCAGACTTGCACTTCCTCAACAAAAGACTATTTGAGAGGATATGATTTTATGATAAGTATTCATATGGATGAAGATATTTGATTTTAAGAATACAATTCCTCAAGGTTAGCTTTTAGCACACAAACTCCATACGAGATTTCTCAAGGTTAGTTTTTAGCACGACCCAACCAACTCACCACCTTGTGTCTTAAATAGCATCATCCTTCTCTTTTTTCTCTGCCCCCAATTTTTCAAGTTCACACTCTTTCTTAAGGGTGGAAAGGATATCAATATATGAATCCAATAACTCTTTGTTGAGATTAAAGCTCTCTTTCATCTTATTTAGACAGACCATCCATTTTTGTGCATTCTTCTTCGCCAAGTCATATTCTTCAAACATAGCTCTCCCCAAAAGGGAACCTATTACCATATAAGTCCCCATTCTTCGAAAGAGTAACTTTGAGCTCATTTTTATCGCACTCTCCAGTTCATTAGGCACATCGAAATGGTCATATATGACTTTGTCTTACACGGAGGGCACCTTGATTTATACGAGACACCGTATAGGCTAATTCTTGGGAAGAACATGTTACACCGTATAAGCTAATTCTCGGAGGAGCACACTACATGTTCACTTTAATTCTGAGTATCTTGTCTGCCATGGCTTAAGAATTTTGTTGAGGTACCAATTTATAGAAATGTTCAATAGGTCAATAAATCCTTGCATGAATAGGTTAGCTTGGAACTAATTAGTGTTCAAGGGCATCTATTGTCTAGTTATGAACGACTACAATAGAGGTTGGTGCAAAGGTTGGCATTGATAAGGTTGTGGAAGAGGTTGAAAAAGTGGGAGGCTTAGAACGTTCTCCAGTCCTTTCTTGGAGGAACAAGCTATTGTTGTGCAGGAACGAACATAGAGGTCACTATAAATTGATCAACCTCTTTTGGAGGAGGAGGTAGAGCCTTGTAAGCTTCAGCGGCTGCAAGAACGAAGCGATCATTGAGCGGAAGATCTATTAATATTTTGTCACCATGGCTTTGTGAGTTTGATATCTAACTTGTTCAAGAAAGAGATCAATAATTTGTGAGGAGGAGATATGTGATCTATGTTTCAGTGAAGAGATAATAGTTTTCGTGGAAAAATGGAAATAATCAACACTCGTATTCCATAGATGGTGTCACTGTTCTGCTCATGGAACCAAAGATAAGTGATGAAATGAACTTTAGACATCTTGGATCAGACCTCTGGTGTGATCGATTGAATTTTTTGTGCAGTGGACATGATATTGACCTACAAGATTAACACTTCAATACTTAAGTCAGTGACAGAGTGAAAAATAACTTTAGAGTGAATAAATTGAATACCTAAAATTGAACGATTAGATCTTTATATAATATGGATAGTTAAAACCGTCCACATGTGATTTAATGCTCTATGCGGGGTTGCT